CGGGGGGGGGGGTTGCTTTGCTTGTATGGAAGGAAAGTCTGAAGGCGAATGTAAATCCAATCAAATGGTTCATGTTGGCAATCCAATATTAGGCGAGTACATGACCATTCCGATGGTTAAGAAACGGAGAAGATAGTGGAGAATATTCGGCTTTTGGATTCAGTACGAGGTTTCACATGGATTGTTGCTGGTTTTTTGTGTTTTTTGATGTAACTATACTTTTTATGTGTTTTTTGATGTAACTATACCAAGTTGCCTCATTTTATTCTTAGACTGTAAGAGGATCATCTGTTTTCGTTGATGTGACAAGATTAAATTGCTTCCTTTTGTTCTTGGACTGTTCAAGGTTCATCACATGAATTGTTTGCTCTGTGATTTTGAGGAAAATTTTCTCCTGTCAGTTAAAAAAGCATGAGGGGCATTAAGAACACCCCGTAACTATTTTGATACGTACTGCTGTTGGACGACATTTTTACAACTTTTCATTATCATAGCTGTTGATTTATAGAGCTATTAATTCGAACTCACCTTCAAACATGCTCGTAAACCAGGGCATGTTCATACCCATGGAATTTCCTGTAACTCCTCTTAGACACGCCATATTCTAGCTGAAACAATGCATCGCAGAACTTTGATGATCTGATCTAGAAAAGGGTTAAAAACAATTGTCTATTAAGATGCAGAATGTGAGAGAAGATCTTGGAGCATAAATGAGAGTAGAACTTCAACAAGAAACGAGAATGTATTTGGCTTAAATGAGTTACATTTTCCTACCCCTCCTACACCTTCTAGTTTAAGACCTCTTTCTTCAGTTCCTTGTCCTTCTAATTCAAGATCTTAGAAGTTTTAATGTAATGCGTGTTTTGTATAATTACATTTTATATCTATTTTGTTTTATCATAAATTATATTATTAAATTAGATCTAACAGATAATCAATCTTGAAATTTTTTAATTTAATTTATATAAAAATTATTTTTATATAATAAAATTAATTTGATATGTTCAAAGACAATTCAAGTTACCGGTAAAAGCATAATTTGATTTAAAAATAAATTTAAAATAATATATATTTTTAATATTAATATATTTGATCGATTCAAATTTTATATCTTAACCTATAAAATTGATGACCTAAAATGTAAACTTTAATGAGTTTAAAATACTTATTTTTTAAAATTATTTTTTATTTAATAATATGATAATAAAAATAAATTATGACAATCATTTTAGAATGTTAAAATTTAAATAAAAATTTTAAAAAGTAAAATAAAAAGAGGACTTTTGAAAAAAGAGGTGATTCATATAATAGTGATGCACCATGATATTTCTAATTTCTTCAGTCATTCTTACATATCACTTAATTGCTGGTAACCAAATGGATTTGGGCTTGTTATTAGGCCCAAAAACATGGAAATTCACCAATGCAAAAGATATGGGACCAATTGTGGACATCAACACAGTCATACTTGAAGCCCAGCCCACATTGGATCTATAAAGCCCACAGCACTCCCCCCTGCGACTTTGTGCGTGTGTGTCCATATATCTGTGACTGTGTGTTCTCGGTTCTTGCCAGCCAAACCCTAGCAGTAGCAGCAAAACAAACCCTCAATCACTCCACCTCCATCAATGAGAAAGGTAAAGAAAACAGCCTCCGTGGGTTCGAATAGAAGGAGAACAGCAAAACCACCAGGAAGTAGTAGTAGTAGTAGCACAGAACAATCCAAATGTGTAGTGGCTGAGCTGCCCAATGCTTTGATAATAGACATCCTATCAAGATTGTCCATCAGGCCCCTCCTCAACTGTAAGTCTGTCTGCAAAACTTGGCTTCATTTAATGTCAGACCCTTTTTTTGTCAGGCTCCATCTGGAAAGATCACCCACTACTCTCTTGATTCAGAAGACACCCTTCGTACGTAAAGAAAGTACAGAGATGTTACTCATTGAGATAGTTGAAGAAGACATCAGCAAACCTTTTTATATTGAAATCATCAGGTTGTTTCCCGCCAAAAACTTTCCTGATACTGATGTTAGGATTTTGAATTCTTGCAATGGGTTGCTTTGCTTGTATGAAGATTCTGGAGACAAATCTGATATGATGGTTCATGTTTGTAATCCAGTGTTAGGGGAGTACATAGATATCCCAGTAGTTAATACTGACAAAAAATTTGAACATCACCTTGCTTTTGGATTCAGTTCGGTGAGTAATCAATACAAAGTGCTGCAGACATTTTATCCTGAGAAAGACTTAACTGCTTCTCCATGTCTGGCAGAAATATACACGGTGGGTACTGGACAATGGAGAAGCATTGGAAATGCTCCTTTCAGACTTCAATCTCTGGACGCCAATGCTTTTTTGCATGATTCAATTCATTGGATTGAATATAGATCTAACAGTGCTGGGTTTGTTTCTGCCTTTGATTTTGCGTTGGAGCAGTTTAAGCTAGTGGCCTTACCTCCTGCTTCTCAAATACATGATGGTATGGGGAGGTGCTATCCTTCATCCGTCGGAGTTATAAAAGGTTGCCTATTCATGACTAATGGTGTGTGTATTGAAAATGAGAAATTTGAGATATGGGTCATGGAAGAGTATGGCATCAAGGAGTCTTGGACCAAAAAGTTTGTGCTTTCAAACTTAGAAGTACAGCATTATGTCTCTTACCAGCCCTTATATTTCTTAAGCTCTGGGGAAATCTTGTTATGTGAAGATGATGAAAGTATCGGCGTTTATGTCCCAAAATTGAAGAGAATTCATGAGGCAAAATTCTACAAGGGAAAAGACTGCTTTCTTGTGACTGCCCACAACCCGAGTTTTGTGTCACTCCAAGATATTGCGAAAGGAGAAGAACTTAAGGTGTTAAGGTAATAATGAGTTATCTAGACATGGTACTGGTCTCATCTTCTTGTATGTTATAGCCTATATTGTAAATGATATGTTGAGGCACTGCAGACATATTTTGATGGTTTCCTTATATGACTTTCTGCATATCTTGCATTACTCATTGCCATAATCGAAATGAGATTTAAAGATCATCAAACTATTCTGATTAACTATGACAATGTGCATTGCATGAAATCTTTAAACAGCGCAGCAGCAGCCATTGCTGGCAATCAAAATGTTCATGTGGATAGTTGCCCTTAGTTGAGTAATGTAGTTTTGGCATAACATGGGTGAGCTAGTATGTCTAGATGTTGTAGCAGTCGTGCACCTTTCTCAAATAATCTCCTCAAAGTTCTATCCGGGTTTCTATCCTTGATGGAATGTCAGTATTTACTTTTGCTTTCTTGAATTGCAAACTAAAGACCATGAAACATTTCTGAGCAGGACCTAGCCGGGCTGATAGAGATTTTGCAGGCACAGCTTCTTCAGAAAACGGGTAATGGGGGGGGTGCTAATTTTGGTTTCTTGAAGGGGGATTAAGTATGAGTAGGAACTGTAAGATGCATTGCTAGTGATCAAGAACTATAAGATGCATTGCTTTTGATATGACTGTCGATTGAGCCACGTTCCTCGGGTCTATCCCGAATTATGTATTTTATGCATCTGAATTAGTTTGTCCGACTTTGACAATGATATCATGTGCTTACTATGGCAGGAACTAGATATATTATCCAGCTAAATGTCTGTTGGTTTGCCATGTCAATCAAAACTAGACTAGTAAACACAAGACACAATGACATCCTTTGACAGAGTGTGTGTGTGTGTGTTGAGAATTAGAAATCACTAGAAAAATCACCATCCAAATGATGGCATGAGAAAACAATAAAGGAAAGCTTGCAAATATAAAAAAAACACATATGAAAACTTGGCAGGGAATTGTTCGTAGAGAAAGTAGAGCAGGCCTAACAGGCATGGCAATGTAAAAAACTTCGAGGAGCTATAGAATAAAATCCACGTACGCCCTTATAGACTGTCATGTTATAATTAAAAAATCTTTCGAAACAGGAAAGGAAATGACAGTGCAGGAAAAAAAGATCAAAATGAGGCAAACAAATGAAAAATCGTTTGTGCAAGCTAATTGTCTCGTCCTATTTCTCAAACCCTTCCCAAGCCGATGACTAACTGAAGAGCAAAGCATCTCTCAAAAGCCATGAAAACCAACTGTGCAAGCTGAATTGCCTCTTGTCCAGTTTCCTAACTCTTTCCAAGCCGATGACACACTAGCTTAAAGGAAAAGCAGAGCAGCTTTCTAAGCCTAAAGGTAAAACAGGCGTGCAAGACTCGAATTTGAGTTGGTTGAGTTTTTAAAGTGAATCAACTTCCAGCTGGATGAATTAGAGATTTTTTTTTTCAAAATTAGAATAAAAAATTTACCACTTTGTAAGCTTTGTACCATCAAATACTAGTATAATCTTTTTTATTTTTTAAAATTTATTTTTAATATTATAAAAAAATAAAACAAAAAAAAAATCTTCTTCTTTTTCAAAAACAACCGTAAAACAACGTAGCATGCTTTCTTGACTGTGACAATAACATTTTTGACAGTCACAATCGTGGGTCCCGAAAGCGGACGTGTCAAGATTTGGTAGGCACATTGGACGTGTTCGTTGCAGAAGCGAAGGTGCATTGACATCAACCGTATCTTATAAAATGACGAAAAGCCCTTTCTTATTAGCGTGGTGTTATTTGAGTAAAATTATAAATTAGTCTCTTTATGTTTTCAAAATTAATCAAATCGTCCCTATAATTCTAAACCTAATAAATTAATCCCTTAACTACTACAGATCATGTTTAAATTAATTTATTTTTTGTTCCAAAATGTCTTCTTTTATTGTTACTCTTTCCATATCATTTATTGGTTATTAATTTTTATATTTTTAGAAATAAAAAACAAAATAAATTTGAAATGACTATGAAATGGGTGAAAAATGATCAAATTACAAATAAATTTAAAACTATAGAGATTAATTAATTATTCTTAAGACTGGGGAGCCTTTTTAATTTTTTTATAAGACTATAGGGATGATATATAACTTACTCAGCAAGAACAAAAGGGCATTAAAGTCAATAGGAGAAAAGTTAAAATATACCGTTGAAAGCCGAAACAGAGGGAGAGAACGTATAAAATCAAGAAAGTGAATATTTGATGAGAATTAAAGAGTTTCGTTAATTTTTTGGTGCTCGAAAGATGATAGCATGGGTAAAGCAGCTGAACAAGGCATTTGGGGCTTCATTTTTATGGCTTATTTGCTTGATTTACTTCACTCAGGTTTCTTTTTCTCTCTTTTTGCCCACTTTGATTTGATGATCTTTCTCTTTTTGCCTGCTTTGATGATTGTTGGATCAAATTTGATGAGCTTTATAGGAAGTTGATCAGTTGAGGTATTTGTGAAATCGGTTGTTTTATTTTTTTATAAAAAGAAAGAGGAGATGTCAGAGTTTGTAACTTTGTTGTTTTGGGTTTCTGGGTTTTTGTGGGTTTGTTGATTTTTGACTATTTTAGGGGCTTTGGAAATCCATATGGAACTGATGTTCTTAAGAAATTTCTTGTCCTTTTTTATTTTTTGAGAATGTTGTAGCTTGCATGGAATTTTGAAGTTTGCCTTTTTTGCTTTTAAGAGCAGCATTTCTCCTGGTTTTTGCTCTTAAAGAAAATAAAACATAAATTACGGTAATGGGAATTTGGCTCTTTGGTTTGTGCTTCTTTCATGTGATGGTTTTCTTTTTTGGAAGAAAAATAACTACTTCTAACATGTTGCTTAAAATTTCTAAATTGTCCAAAGCCTTTCGATACCAATTGGATGATCTACTCTTGTATAATATGTGGTGTTCTATTAAAATGTTACGACCTAGTTCCTCTGGGATCTTGTTAGGATTTTGCAAGTAATCTTCAAGTTGCTGATGTTTTTATTATTGAATAATTTGATGTCCAACTTAACAATGGTGTTTCTTTAACATGTGAGCGTAGGGTTTTAGATCCTTTGTATGGACTGCAGTTTCCTATCAGCTAAAAGACAATCTTAAGCTGTCGCCATCAGCCTCGCAATTCGTGTCTTCAATAGCATTTTTCCCGTGGAGCATAAAGCCATTATACGGGTATGTTTGTTTGTTTTGTTCAATTTCTTGATAGGACTATGATGCAACTTAAAGAATGAAGGCAGATAAGAAAAAAATTGTTGTTGAAATGCTGTAGTTTATAGTGAAAGAATCTGTTGTGTTGTGGGACACCCTAACGGAGTAGCAGTTTTGGCAACTTCTTTATATTGCCTTTTTGAAAATCCATAATAGTATGTGAAACCCTAAACAGGGATTTTATATGCATTACAAATCACAGTGTAGTACTTATTTGGCATTTTCTTTATTGATGGAAATTGAAAAATAGTGTTCCTTTTGTTAGACATAATTTTTGTGTATGTTTTTGGAAACTTAACTTGCATCCTGCTTGCAGAATTTTGTCTGATTGCATCCCGATAAAAGGAAGGAAAAGGATACCATACCTCGTTATTGCAACTCTTCTCTCTCTAGTTCCCTGGCCTATGCTTGGTATAGATTCCAACTTGAGGAGTTCCCAATGGCATCTCACAGTCCTCTTGACAGTTCATAACCTGGGCTCTGCCATGGCAGATGTTGTGGTTGATGCAATGATTGCTGAGGCAGTAAGATTTGAGAGGTTTGTGTGTGCTGTCTTTTAAAGCAAATCTAAGCACATTTTCACTAATTTGGTATTATAGTCTGTCATCATTTTTAGGTACACACAATTTAGCTACAAACACTCTTCATATTTTGTTGGTTGACAAAGCAGGAAGCAAGTGGCATGCAACCTAACCATCTATTCGTGTTAACTTGGGATTTTATTATAAAAAATATGAATGAGTGGGAGGCTTTCCTGTCAATTATTATATGGTCATACCTTTCCATATGTTCAAGAAATCTGGATGGTCTCCCATTATGTTGTTGGGTTGTACTCTCAAATGGGCAATTTAGTTAAACAAAATTTAGAATGTGAAAGCTTACCTGTACCATTGAACAGGGCATCATTTGCTGGAGAACTGCAGTCCATATCTTGGTTGTCAATGGCAATGGGTGGAATTTGGGGCAGTTTGTTAGGAGGATATGCATTGACCAACTTACAAATAGACAAGATTTTCCTCCTTTTTTCTGTACTGCCAGCCATACAGTTATTATCATGTGGTTTGGTTGGGGAGAATTCTGCAGGCAGTAAAGTTTCTCATGACTCTGCCAATTCAAGCAACTCCCATCCAGTAAATGGGAATGGTAATATTTTGGACGAAGATAATATCTTGCTGAAGAAGTCCAGTGCAAGTGCTACAAGAAGAAAGAGGAGCCAAAAGAATAGCAACAAGAGGGCTAGTATGAGAACTAAATCCCTGATACCTGAGAAGGGCAATTCCTTAATCTCACATTGGCTCCAGTCTCTGAGAACAGCTACTTACAGTTTGTTACGTGCTTTTAGGCAGCCAATCATTTTGAGGTAACTACCAAAACCTTTTATAATAGTCAGTTGAATATTCTGTAGAATTTGAAGTTCATGTGTATGTGTGCTCCTCCTCTAGATTTAGCATTGTTAGCCACCCAAAGAGATGATTGTTTTCACTTTGATATTAAATATATGATTGTCAATGATCCAGAATAGACCACAGAATGAATGCTTGATTTACTTGTATTTTGCCAGATTCCCCCCCCTCCTATTTTAGGTGTATATGCTGCTTAATATACCTACCCTGGTATCAATTTAATTTATTCTTCTAATCTATTTGATTTTGGGTTTTACTTCTTCTAATCTATTTGATTTTGGGTTTTACTTTGGTCTTTGGAAGACCAGACCAATGGCTTGGTTTTTCCTAGCACAGATTACTGTTCCAAACCTCTCAACAGTCATGTTCTATTACCGGACAGAGGTCTTGAACTTGGATGCATCCTTTTTGGGGACTGTACGTGTTGTTGGATGGTTAGGCCTCATGCTAGGAACCTTCACGTACAATCGCTACTTAAAAACCATGAAACTACGGAAGATTCTCTTGTGAGTGCTTAACAACGCTGAAAACATTTTTCAAGAACCATGTTTCTTCTACTTAATGTGCTTAATATTGCTTATGCAGGTGGGCTCATGTTGGGCTGTCATTGTTGACCCTTCTAGATGTAATTTTAGTGTCTCGATTGAATCTTGCCTATGGAGTTTCAGATAAGATCATGGTTGTCTTCGGATCTGCCCTTTCTGATGCTGTTAATCAATTCAAGTATGTTCATTTTCTACGTTCTTTTTCTCCAAAGTTTCTAGCTTTTCTATTAATTTATTTTGAAGTGAATACCTGTATGCCCCTCAAAACAAGGAAAAAGGAGACTTGATTTTGGATTCCAGATACAGAAATCACATGCAAGCTCTCATAAGGAAAAAAGAAAATCATATGCATGATGTTTCATGAATGTATGCATGAGCTCGTTCACACACATGCACACTCTCGTGCACCCATAAATCACTCCTCACATAACCTCTGTCCATAAATCTTTAAATTCAACCCCAACCAATTTGTTTTCTCACATTTCTGGTCCGTCTCTGCAGGTTAATGCCATTCCTTATATTATCTGGACAGTTATGTCCACCAGGAATTGAAGGAACACTATTTGCCCTCTTTATGTCAATAAACAACTTAGGTTCCACACTGGGATCTTTTGTGGGTGCAGGGTTGGCCTCAATTTTGAACCTCTCCTCTGGATCTTTTGACAACCTTGGTTTGGGCATTGCTATCCAAGTCCTGTGCACTTTCATTCCAATTGCTTTTCTATTTTTGATACCAAAAGAAGCCACAGGGATATCAGCATAGGTAGGGTAAATCATTTTCCCAGTACAAGAAGTTATTCACTCGATAACGGCAAAATGAGCAGAAAGATGGCTACTGAATTTATTTTGTCACTGTCAAGTAGTCGCTGGGATATACGAAATGCACTCTTGAGTTTTGAGGATCGAAAGAAATAGGTGCCTTTGATTTATAGTTCTCAAAGTAACCTTTGGTTTTGATGATGATACACTGATGTACAAGGTTTGTAGAACAATTTTGATCAGTTCAGTCAGAAATACAGAAATTATTACTGGTGCAATGCTTATGGAAAGCAAGGTTCAAGTTGCTATCCCTGTGGTACCAGAAAAGTGCAGTTAGTGCCTTCGAGTAGCGTTGATGTCAGTTATTGTCTTGAGATAGAGAAGATAAAAATAGAAAGGATAGAACGATCATGTTTTTCTGTCGGTTTGGAAAGTAAATTCACATTAAAATTATGTTTTTCTTTTTCAACTAAACATGTTGTCTTTTCTGTATTTATTTATTGTGTCAAATGCAGTCTTAGATATGAATTTTGAGGTATTCGCAGCACTCTGCAAGAAACATGGTGGGAAACAAATGGCTGACATGGTGATCAATGTTGATTATTGAATAAGGATCGCAAAGTAATTGCGTGTCAAAATGTTATATTATAACACCCATCTACCTTAAAAATGCAAAAATAAATGACAGAAATTTGGATTTGTTATTTATAAAGAAATAAAAAAAAATCATCTTGTCAGTGGCGCTGGCTATGTTCTTCCTTCTTCTTTTTTTCTTTTTTTTTTTTGCATTAATTGGTTAATTTAGTTGAAAGCTAATTAAAATTTTTCTGGTGTACTAGATTCATACGAGGGCCTATTCTAGAATTTGTTTGAGAAAATATTTAACCTCAGTTATTCATAAACTAATCTGAAGAGATGTAGGAATCCCGTATATATGGAGGTTTATTTAATTAAATTAAAATTAAATAAACAAAAAAACTAGAATTGAAGGAGAAGTTCTTCGACCCATGTGACATTTCTGTATTAATTGGATCAGTGAAATGATAAAACTTTTCTGAACTAAAAAAAAACCCTATAATCTATATATCGAGGATAAGATTGTTTTTCAAATGACATAATTGCTTTTTATAAATTAATTATATACTGTTAGATTAGTCATTCCACTTTTTATTATGCAATAAAATTATTAATTTAACACTAGAATAAAATAATAGAACACGGGTGTTTTGGTTTTTTTTTGAAAAAAAATTAGAATAGCCTATTTATTTTTATACCCTTAAAAACATACTTCCATAATGTATTTTTTATCATTTGACATCAATTATTTTAAAAAAAATTAAAAGTTAAGTAAGGTGTATTATTATAAATGATATATACAAAATATTATTTAAAAAAATTTATTGGCACATGTGGATTGCCTCTGTATCGTTTGGATGGCATATACGAGGTCATCTAGTTATCAAATGCCATCTTTCATGATGACATTTTAAAAATCTCACCTTTTCCAATGTAATGGGGTGTTATATGTCCTAAATACTTATTGGGTTTAACGCTAATGATCTCCCTTTCTCTCTTTCTCTTTCTTCACCTTGAATTCTATACAAACCCTTTCAAAATTATCAACTCCTGCAATTTATTACCCCCCTTGAATTCTATACTAACCCCTTCAAAATTCAAATAAACCCTGTAACTTATTATTTTCTTCATATTTTATCCATGTCTTTTTCATTATTATTATTTATTTTGAAATTATCTATAAAATCATAAATATTTTTCAATTTCATCCCTATAATTTTTAATCTTTAAATAATTTATTAAATTACAAATATTTTTAATTTCACTCTCATAATTTTTCAATCTTTCAAATTTGTTTCTCATTATTTTGATTGCTATTTTTTTTTGTAATCATTTTCTATTTTTTTTTGCAATGTCATCCTTATTTTTTTTCCAGCAAGTTTTGATTTATTCTCATTCTTTTTTTTGTTTATCTTCTTTACTTTTTCAAGTTTTTTTTTATGATTTCATCTTTCAAAATTAAATTGCTGTTTTTAAAGAATAGATCATCTTTTAGAAGATTCACTCCGAATCTGCTTAGTCTTTTAGAGATTCCTTTTTTTGTTATTTTTTTTGCTTTTATATGTTTTTTTATTAATATCTTTTCACAATTTCATTATTTAAAATTAAATTAGTTAGAATTTAAACTTCTTGATTAAACCTGAATCTAAGATGAGTTGTTGAATTTACTAATTAAATCAAGTTTAAAATGTTTGCTTCGAGTTTATTTGGTTTAATTTTCTAATTTTTAAGATGATGTTTTCTTATTTCTTATCCCTCTTTTTAGTTGTACTTTGTTATTTTTTATAGTTTGCCTTCAATAAGGTTAGCCCTTAGGTTTATAATCAAGATCACTAATTTCAAATGTTAATACAATTTCACTTTTGTTTTTTTTTAAAATTGATAAGTTTCATCATTCAAACTTTTTTTTTTCTTTCTATCAAATTATTCTAACTTACTTTTTAATTTTTTTTTTTATAATTTTACCTTTTAATATTAAATTATTTAATAATTCAAGTGGGATTAAGTTGGTTTTTTTTCATTGATATTTTTTATTATTGTATTTTTTCTTGTCATATAATTTAAATTACTAATGCTTTGAATTTTTTTACCCTCCCTAACATTTGTTTTTTTTAAAAAAACTGTCTGCACGCGAGAATTACAAATTGAAATGGATTCACACAAATGGCAAGAGATTAAATGTAGAAAATAAAAGGAGGGACCTCATTGCAAATAAAAAAAAAATTAGCAGGAAAGCGATTAAACAAAAAGGTTTAAACGAGCGGAGGAAGCTACTCAAATATCAGAGCCTGGTTTCGATCCAGGGACCTGTATATCAGAGCCTGAAAAGGTTTAAACGAGCGGAGGAAGCTACTCAAATATCAGAGCCTGGTTTCGATCCAGGGACCTGTGGGTTATGGGCCCACCACGCTTCCGCTGCGCCACTCTGATTGTTTAATAGGGGTTATATGAAATGATATAATGTAAGTTCCGATCTCTTGGCTGTGTCTGTACTTCCCTTTCTACACCAACATCATAAAAAAATTGCTAGGAAAACAATTCAAAACTTTGATCAAAACCCACAAAAGATATCAATCAAAGAAGCAGTCTTTAATAAAAACGGGAATGAGAAGGAGACCTGGTATTGGGTTACAAACAGCATCTGCTGCTATGGTAACTACTGTTTCTTCTGTTGGATTATTGATTCATCGGTTTCCATTTCGTTATTTATTAATGCTCAATATAAACAGTTTCTGAGTGTTTGCTTTTCATTTCTTGAAATGGTTTTGAAGGATCAATATCGGATACTTGGAAAAATGTAGCAAGGTTAAAAACTGATCTTATGAAAGAACAGCTTGCCACTTTTCGTTCTCAGCATGAAGAATTTGCCCCCAAACACAAGGTCAGCTGATAAATTTCTGTGTTATATCAACGAACTTTACCGTTTGGAGATATTTTTTTTTGGATTTTTAATACTAAAGTTGTGAATTTTAGAGGTGTTTATTTCTGTTACGGTATTTGGATTTTTAATAACGAACTTTACCGTTTGGAGATATTTTTTTTTGGATTTTTAATACTAAAGTTGTGAATTTTAGAGGTGTTTATTTCTGTTACGGTAAGAAAGATGAGTTCCCGTGTGCTTCTTTGATATTTTTTTACTGGCCCAGTTGCTAATTTTGTAAAATTTTAACGGGTTTTAAGAGATAAATGAAAGAGGACATGGTGTGATTGTCAGGGTTGTGATTTTTATGGGAAATGGTATTGTAATGTTGATGTGGGTTGGTGCAGAATGATATTCGAAAGAACCCTACTTTCAGGGCGCAATTCCATGAGATGTGTGCTAAAGTTGGAGTGGATCCATTGGCATCGAGTAAGGTTTTTTGGGCAGAGCTGTTACAAATAGGTGACTTCTGTTATGAACTTGGCTTGTACAATTTCTTTTCTCATTATGGTGCTATATCTTTGGCAAATGTCTTGTGTCTTTTCTGTGTTTCCAGAAAAGTACAGTTAGTGCCTTCGGGTAGCGTTGATGTTTAGTTATTCTCTTGAGATAGAAAAGACAAGGATAGAAAGGATAGAACAAAGATGTTATTCTACTGGTTTTGAAAAGTAAATTCACTTTAAAATTATGCCTTTCATGTTCTTATTTCTTTCTTTTCCAACTAAATATGCTGTGTCTTTTCTGTATATATTTATTCTGTCAAATGCAATCTTAGATATGAATTATCTTGTCAGTGGCCCTGGCTATGTTCTTACTCTTTCTTTTTTTTTCATTATTTTGTTTTTGTTGCATTAAATGGTTAATTTAGTTGAAAGCTAATTTAAATTTTTCTGACGTCCTAGATTCATATGAGGGTCTATTCTAGAATTTGTTTTAGAAAATATTTAACCTCAGATATTCATAAATTAATCTAAAGACATGTAGGAATCCCGTATATATGGAGGTTTAGTAAAATTAAAAAAACCTAAAAAACTAGAAGTGAAGGAGAAGTTCTTGTATCCGGGATTAGTGAAATGAAAAAATGTTCCTTGATTAAAAAAAAATTTACAAATTGCATTTTTATAAATTGTAAACGGTTAGATTAGTGGTTTTAATTTTTATTGTGCAATAAAATTATTAAATAGAATAAAATAATATAGTGTTTACTACCCGAGGAAAAGAGAGCAATAATATTAAAAATGAAGAGCAAAAGCATCTCTCAAAAGCCATGAAACCAGCTGTGCAAGCTAAATTGCCTCTTATCCTGTTTCCTAACTCTTTCCAAGCCGATGACACACTAAGCTTAAAGGAAAAGCAGAGCAGCTTTCTAAGCCTAAAGGAAAAACAGGTGTGCAAGACTCGAATTTGAATTGTGTTGAGTATTTTCAAAGTGAATCGAATTCCAGTTGGATGAATTAGGTGTATTGGACATGTTCGTTGCAGAAACGCACATCAACTGTATCCTCTAAAATGACGAAAAGCCCTTTTTTATTAGCGTGGTATTATTAGAGTAAATTATAAATTAATATCTTTAGGTTTTCAAAATGAATCAAATCGTCCCTATAATTCTAAACCTAATAAATTAATCCCTTAACTAGTGCTGATCATGTTTAAACCAACGACTCTTCTTTTATTGTTACTCTTTCCATATCATTTATTGGTTTTTAATTTTTATATTTTTAAAAATAAAAAACAAAATAAATTTAAAGTGACTATGAAATGGGTGAAAAATGATCAAATTACAAATAAAATTAAACCTATAGAGATTAATCAATTATTCTTAAGACCAGGGAAACTATTTAATTTTTTTATAAGACTGTAGGGACTGATATATAACTTACTCAGCAAGAACAAAAGGGCATTAAAGTCAATAGGAAAAAAGTTAAAATACCGTTGAAAGCTGAAACAGAGGGAGAGAACATATAAAATGAAGAAAGTGAAGGCTTGATGAGAATTAAAGAGATTTACTTGTTGTTTGGTGTTGGAAAGATGATAGAATGGGTAAAGCAGCTGAACAAGGCATTTGGGGCTTCATTTTTATGGCTTGTTTGCTTGATTCACTTCACTCAGGTTTCTTTTTCTCTCTTTTTGCCCACTTTGATTTGATGATCTCTCTCTTTTTGCCTGCTTTGATGATTGTTGGATCAAATTTGATGAGCTCTATAGGAAGTTGATCTGTTGGGGTTTTTGTGAAATCGGTTGTTTTATTTTTTTGATATACAGAAAGAGGAGATATCAGAGTTTGTAACTTTGTTGTTTTTGGCTTCTGGGTTTTTGTGGGTTTGTTGATTTTTGACTATTTTAGGGGCTTTGGAAATGGGTATGTTTGTTTGTTTTGTTCAATTTCTTGATAGGACTATGATGCAACTTAAAGAATGAAGGCAGATAAGAAAAAAATTGTTGTTGAAATGCTGTAGTTTATAGTGAAAGAATCTGTTGTGTTGTGGGACACTGGTAATTTCCTAACGGAGTAGCAGTTTTGGCAACTTCTTTATATTGCCTTTTTGAAAATCCATAATAGTATGTGAAAACCTAAACAGGGATTGTATATGCATTACAAATTACAATTGAGTACTTATTTGGCATTTTCTTTACTGATGGAAATTGAAGAGTAGTGCCTTTTTGTTATACATAATTTTTGTGTATGTTTTTGGAAACTGAACTTGCATCCTGCTTGCAGAATTGTGTCTGATTGCATCCCGATAAAAGGAAGGAAAAGGATACCATACCTAGTTATTGCAACTCTTCTCTCTCTAGTTCCCTGGCCTATGCTTGGTATAGATTCCAACTTGAGGAGTTCCCAATGGCATCTCACAGTCCTCTTGACAGTTCATAACCTGGGCTCTGCCATGGCAGATGTTGTGGTTGATGCAATGATTGCTGAGGCAGTAAGATCTGAGAGGTTTGTGCGTGCTGTCTTTTAAAGCAACTCTAAGCACATGTTCACTAATTTGGTATTTGAGTCTTTCGTCATTTTTAGGTACACACAATTTAGCTACAGACGCTCTTAGTATTTTGTTGGTTGACAATGCAGGAAGCAATTGGCATGCAACCTAACTATCTATTGGTGTTAACTTGGGATTTTATTATAAAAAATGTGAATGAGTGGGAGGCTTTCCTGTCAATTATTATATGGTCATACCTTTCCATATGTTCAAGAAATCTGGATGGTCTCCCATTATGTTGTTGGATTTTTCTCTCAAATAGGCAATTTAGTTAAGTTTTTTTAGAATGTGAAAGCTTACCTGTACCATTGAACAGGGCATCATTTGCTGGAGATCTGCAGTCCATAACTTGGTTGTCAATAGCTGTGGGTGGAATTTGGGGCAGTTTGTTAGGAGGACATGCATTGACCAACTTACAAATAGACAAGATTTTCCTCCTTTTTTCTGTACTGCCAGCCATACAGTTATTATCATGTGGTTTGGTTGGGGAGAATTCTGCAGACAGTAAAGTTTCTCATGAGTCTGCCAATTCAAGCAACTCCAATCCAGGGAATGGGAATGGTAATATTTTGAACCAAGATAATATCCCGCTGAAGAAGTCCAGTGCAAGTGCTACAAGAAGAAAGAGGAGCAAAAAGAATAGCAACAAGAGGGCAAGTATGAGAATTAAATCCCTGATACCTGAGAAGGGCGGTTCCTTAATCTCACATTGGCTCCAGTCTCTGAGAACAGCTACTTACAGTTTGTTACGTGCTTTTAGGCAGCCAATCATTTTGAGGTAACTACCAAAACCTTTTATAATAGTCAGTTGAATATTCTGTAGAATTTGAAGTTCATGTGTATGTGTGCTCCTCCTCTAGATTTAGCATTGTTAGCCACCCAAAGAGATGATTGTTTTCACTTTGATATTAAATATATGATTGTCAATGATCCAGAATAGACCACAGAATGAATGCTTGATTTATTTGAATTTTGCCAGATTTTTTCCCACCTATTTTAGGTGTATATGCTGCTTAATATACCTACCCTGGTATCAATTTACTTTATTCTTCTGATCTATTTGATTTTGGGTTTTACTTTGTTCTTTGGAAGACCAGACCAATGGCTTGGTTTTTCCTAGCACAGATTACTGTTCCAAACCTCTCAACAGTCATGTTCTATTACCGGACAGAGGTCTTGAACTTGGATGCATCCTTTTTGGGGACTGTACGTGTTGTTGGATGGTTAGGCCTCATGCTAGGAACCTTCACGTACAATCGCTACTTAAAAACCATGAAACTACGGAAGATTCTCTTGTGAGTGCTTAACAACGCTGAAAACATTTTTCAAGAACCATGTTTCTTCTACTTAATGTGCTTAATATTGCTTATGCAGGTGGGCTCATGTTGGGCTGTCATTGTTGACCCTTCTAGATGTAATTTTAGTGTCTCGATTGAATCTTGCCTATGGAGTTTCAGATAAGATCATGGTTGTCTCAGGATCTGCCCTTGCCGATGCTGTTAATCAATTCAAGCACGTTCATTTTCTCCAAAGTTTCTAGCTTTTCTATTAATTTATTTTGAAGTCAATACCTGTATCCCCCTCAAAACAAAGACAAAGGAGACTCGATTTTGGATTCCAGATCCAGAAATCACATGCATGCTCTCATAAGGAAAAAAGAAAATCACATGCATGATGTTTCATGAATGTATGGATGAGCTCGTTCTCACACACACACTCTCGTGCACCCATAAATCACTCCTCACATAACCTATCTGTCCATAAATCTTTAAATACACCCCCGACCAATTTGCTTTCTCACATTTCTGGTCTGTTTCTGCAGGTTAATGCCATTCCTTATATTATCTGGACAGTTATGTCCACCAGGAATTGAAGGAACACTATTTGCCCTCTTTATGTCAATAAACAACTTAGGTTCCACACTGGGATCTTTTGTGGGTGCAGGGTTGGCCTCAATTTTGAACCTCTCCTCTGGATCTTTTGACAACCTTGGTTTGGGCATTGCTATCCAAGTCCTGTGCACTTTCATTCCAATTGCTTTTCTATTTTTGATACCAAAAGAAGCCACAGGGATATCAGCATAGGTAGGGATGATTCATTTTCCCGGTACAAGAAGTTATTCACTTGGTAACGGCAAAATGAGCAGAAACATTGCTACTGAATTTATTTTGTCACTGTCAAGTAGTAGCTGGGATATACGAAATGCACCCTTGAGGATCGAAAGAAATGGGTGCCTTTGATTTATAGCTCTCAAAGTAACCTTCGGTTCTGATGATACACTGATGTACAAGGTTTGTAGAAAATTTTGATCAGTTCAGTCAGAAATACAGAAACTATTACTGGTGCAATGTTTATGGAAAGCAAGGATCAAGTTTTAATCTTTTAAGTTTGATTTTCATTATTTTGATTTTTTTTATTATCATTTTTAAAATTATTTTATTTTACAATTTCATCCTTGTTTTTTTTCCATCAAGTTTTAATTTATCCTCATTATTTTTGTTGTTATTTTTTTTGTTTTTGCAAGTTTTTTTATTAATATTTTTTTATAATTTCATCTTTTAAAATTTGGTTGTTAGTTTTAGAGACTAGACCATGTTTTAGAAGATTTACTTGAGTTTACTTAGTTTTTTAGAGATTTTTTTTGTTGCTATTTTTTTTTTTTGCTTTTGTAAGTTTTTTTTATAATATATTTTAACGATTTTATTATTCAAAATTAAATTAGTTAGGATTTAAGCTTCTTTATTAAACCTGAATATAAAATTTCACAGGTTACAAGTTTTAGAGATTAGATCAAGTTTAAAAGGATTGCTAAAAGTTTGTTTGGTTTTTTTCTCCATTTTTTAAGATGGTGTTTTCTTGTTTCTTATCGTTTTTTTTAGTTTTACATTGTTATTTTTTACGATTTACATTATATGGGGTTAGCCTTGAGTTTATAACTAGGATTACTAGTTTCAAATGTCAATGTGGTTTCACTTTTGTTTTTTGTTTTCTTTTTTTAAATTAATAAGTTTCATTGTTCATACCTTTCTTTTCTTTTCTTTCTATATGATTATCCTAACTTATATCCAGGGTTGTAGAGGTTTGTGGGTTCACCTGATTTAATAAAGTTTTTTTTTATATATAATTTTACCTTTCAATATTAAACTGTAACAATCTAGGTGAGATCAAGTTTGATTTTTATTTTTTATGATATTGTTTTGTTATTTTATTTATTATTATTGTATTTTTTTTATTCATATTATTTAAATTATTTATTGGAATAGTTTTTATTTTTTTTAACCTCAAATTTTTTTAAAAAAAACAATGTTTGCATGCAAGAATTCTCACATTTCAAAAAAAAAAACAATGTTTGCATGCAAGAATTGCAAATTGAAATGGATTCATACAAATAGCAAGAGGAGTGTATTTGATATTGTTATAGTTATTGTGATTGTGGTTTGAAAAAAAACTATTTTATCAAAAATACTTTTAATTAAAGTTGATTTGAAAAAATATATGTTTAGTTAAAACTATAGTTAAAATTGAGATTAAACAAAAAGTAATTTAATGTATTTAATTAAGAATGCTTTTCAAATTGAGGGTATAAAATAAATAAAAAAACACATTAATATTAATAGTTTTTAATTAAAATATTATACATTTAACTAATATTATTACATTATGAAATAACAATACTTTATATAAAATATTTTTTATTATTCTATTAAACTATTTGTTATTACATTATATATGAAATTCATCCTACAAGAATTATAATTTCCATTACTTCTCAGCGTGCAACAAATTTATAAATATAATGTGGTGGTTGACACGCACCATCACATTCAATTGTTTTTTATTATTTCATTCTCACAACTACTATCTAAAGCTGAAATCAATCACCACACACGGTGTCTCTATTCATCGCCATCTCCTTCCACCATGTCCCTTTCTTGGCAGCACCTCCATTAGAACCAAAACCAACACTACCATTAACCAACCCCCTTACCAAGACTGCCCTCACCTATTTACGTCCACAAATCAGCCCTTTCCCTCTCAAACCCAGTAGCCTCTAACATCCATGAATCAGTCCTCTCCCTCACAAACCCATGAGCCTCTCACATCCATCAATCATCCCTTTCCCTCACCTAATTACCTTCTTGAATTAGCCCTTTCCTTTACAAACCCAGTAGCCTCTAATATCTTTCACTACCAACACACCCATAGTGAATCAACCTAATCATCAAACCACAACATAGCCAGCCCTATGTCTTCCTCACACAAACCCGAAAACTCATCTCACCTAGTCACCTAAAACCCATTTACATATCTATTTCAAACCATCAACCCATTAGATTCCCCTAACCAGCAGTCAGCTCAGCATCCCTCATCAACCCAACACGCTCCAGCCTTTTTGTTACTTATTTGTTGGGTCCTATGTGCTAATGGAGATGGTATATATCCCTTTTTAAATCGAAGGCAAGAGTTTAGTTCAAGTTTGATTGGAAATTGACAAAAGCAAAAAAGAAAAAAATGTTTTTTGAACCCTGTTTCAGCCGTTTTCTGCTTTCTTTATCCTTTCCCTCTACTGCCAAAATTATCATGATTCTTAGGCTAATTAGGAGTCTTTATAATAATAAATTCATTCCTTTTTTATCTGGTCTTTAAGGTTGGATAAAATCCCTCAGAAGTTGCACTAAAAAAACTGATTTTGCTACTCTCACAACTTTTTGTTCCAACTTAGGCCTTTATTCTGATTTGGTTTCATGTAATATCTTACCATCCTTACTATATTCTATCACTCATGACATGTTGAAGATTTGGTCTATACCTTGATTAAGTCCTAGGACTCATTATTCTTATGGAAGACTCTCAGTTAAATTGAGATGCTTAGCATTGTCAGTTTTCTGAATTAGATTAGGAGATCTTTTTTTGACCAATTAAATTGCAGCCAAATTCTATTCTTCAAAATGAATTTATCTCATTTTGAACCTTTCATGAAAGTTGTAGTCTTATATGCATAGATAAATTTGGTTTTTGAATTGTTTAATTTCGATATTAGAAGCTTAAGATACCCCCGTTTGAATATCTAAACGTGAAAGCGAAGAATTTTGCCGCAAGAAAGATTCTGAACCGAGTTTTGCACTAAAGACTCTACTTCCATCACAATTTTATTGGTCGTTATTCTTAATTCATACTTTCAGTCATATCGGGATGCTCGACATTGTCGGTTTCTGAATCAGATCACGAGACCTTTTTTTTTATCAACCAGATTGTTGCCAGATTCTGTTCTTTCAAAACGATTTTATCTCACTTCAAATCCTTCATCAAAGTTGTAGTCCTGGACGCGTAGATAAATTTGGGTTTTGAATCACATGATTTCGTTATCAGAAGCTTAAGATATTCCTGTTTGAATATTTAATGTGAAAATAAAAAATTTTGTTATGAGAAAGTTTGGCCCGAGTTTGCAGGTTTGATTCAAAGGATCTAATTGCATTATACTTAAAGTTTGATGACTAATTACGTGTCATTATAAAGGATTTTTTTTTTATGAGGGGCTAAGTTAAAAAAAAATATTGAAATAAGCAAGTTTGCAGATGAAATCACAAGAAACTTGGTTGGATTTGAAAAGAAAAAAAAAAAACAAGGCCAGGATTAATTTGCAGACCAACTACCTTTGCCTTGCGTTTCAGCAACAAACAACGCTGTCATTCTTTACATTAATGCGCATTGTTTTTCCTTTCTTCAACTGAGGAGACAAGACGATGCCATTTTAAAACAACCCAATTTTGAATTAAAGAGCATGGTATGAACCCGCGTCTGCAACCTTTTCCCTCCTCTACAACCGTTTCTTGCTATTTTTTTTTTGACATTTCTCCCGTCCTTGCATTATACAAGACAGCCCCCCTTTTTATGCTATGATGGCAGCTGCGAGAGGGAACGATTTTGTACCTCATAGTGCCAGCTGGGGAAAAGGCAGCAGAGGGAGCCTCGCCATCATCTAATGGTTAGAATTCCATCCCTAAACACAGACGTCTGGAATGAGAGGGTGTTAGGTTATAACCAAGGGATTATCCGTTGCTGATTTACATAATCGGCAACCGAATTTCAGCAACGGATAATCCATTGCTAAAAAATTAACATCTATTATTTACATCTGAAATTATCCGTTGCTAATTTTGTTGTTGAGTTTTATCAGCAATAGATTTTAATATTATCTATAACGGACTAATTAGTTGCTAATAGACTATTTTTTTTGTAGATATTAGTCTCCAAGTTTTTTTTGCTCGGCTATTTAAAAGAGGAGAGAAAAAAGGGAGGGGGGAGAAGAGGGAGACACAAAGAAAGAGTGAAAAACAGAGAGAGCTAACACCAAGAAGGTTAGAGAAACATAAAAACCAACGAGAACGAGAGGGAAGATTATCTCTAGTCTATCCTACATTGCCACAAAGGGGTTCACAAAATCTAAGGAGGTTTTTTAAACTCCTAACGGCAAAAAAATGGAAAGCGTCTGCACTTCATCCGCTGCATTAAAACAAGCAGGATCCGCAGGTATATTTCCAGTTTTCTGCTGCCTTGCTATATTTAAACTAGGCATCTGTTGTTTGTTTTCTTTTTTACAAAACTTGTTTTCTTCTTTTGCTCTAGATGTTCAGTTTCTGTTTGAACAAAAAGTGTTATGCTTGCCCACTGTTACTTCCATGATTTTTTAGTTTGGGTTATTGTTTATGTTAAAGCTGTATGCTTTTTTCTTGATTTATTACTGTGATGAGAGACCGTGAGTTTTAAAGGTCTTCACTATCTCTCCCTCCCTCTGCTCGAGTGTCTCCTTGCCATGGAACGTTGCATAGGAATGATAGTGGCTTAGAAGTGCAGTTTTTATGCGGGGAGGAGAGAGAAAACAAAGAGAGTCGGGGAGACGGAGAGAGTCCAAAAATAGAGAAGAAAAACAGGAGGAGGAAACAACAAGAAAATAAAAGAGGAAAGGAAAGAGAGAAAACCGAGAGAAGAAGAAGAAGGTGAAGAGGAGAATAAATAAAATGCCTGCGGCACTTTTATGTTTGTGTACAATTGCAATGGCAATGATGCGGAGGGAAAAAGAACTACGCATTAAATATCAGAACCCATTGAAGAGGAGATGGAAGATACACGGGAACCGTTAGCGGCGTTTGCCATCTCTATGGCCATCGTCAATCGTAGCAAGTCCTTCCTGCATTGATGTACCAATAAGGATTTAAGAACCCCGGGTACCCAATTGTTTGAGATGTGAGAATGGAGGTAGATGAGA